GAGAGAGAGATGCACATGTTTGTATTTATTTTTGTATTTATTTTTAAGTAACTAAAGCAATTCCATACTATGAATTATATAAATACGAAACTTTAATATTTAATAACATAAAGAGTTAACATAAAGCCATAATAATAAAAATATTAATCCGTCTAAAAAAGACATCACAAATGTAAAAAAAGCGCTAAGTATATCTTTCTCCAGCCAAAATAGTTATTTACAAAAATTTATCGCCATCAAAAATATTATCTTCTTAATAATTATATTTATAAATTATATTTTATCTGTATTAATAACACGGGAAAACAACTGAAAATATTAGCATAAAAAAAAGTAAAATAAAAAAAATCTAGCTAAGTAAATCTAGAAAAATATAATGCATAATATTAGTTAAATTATTGAATATTTATGCGTGCATGTGTGCGCGCGTACGTATGTGTGCGTATATGCGTGTATGCGTTGCGTGTGTGCGCGAATTGTGTATGTATGTGTACGTGCGTATACATATCAATAAATCTGGAACAATATGGCGTCTTGCAAACAAAGCGACATACGCCTAGCGGCGTATCAATGAACCTGGAAAATGGCCTAGCAGCTAGCAGCATAGCCCAGCGGCGTATCAGTGAACCTGGACAAACATGGCGAAAAGTGACACATTGTTGGCCAAAAAATTCATATGAAATATCGAGATCTGTACATCAAGTGCATCTACCAGTGTCATTTTGATATTATTATATTCGGAAAAATCTATGTTCTCGATTGATATGTTCATCTCTCGAAAGGATGGTCCGACGTACGAGATATTTCGAATTCATTCTCTAAAATTTTCAAAAAACGACCTCACTCCGGTAAATGATACACAGTAGCGTCTGTTACAGTAAACGAAAAAACGACGAAAGATATACTTAGCGAGACGCTACCGCGTCTCTTGATAAAATCTAAAACTAAATAAAATAAACATTAGTTCTAATAAAGTATAATTGTAAAATAATTTACAGAAACTGCAAATCTTTTCGCATAATAGAAAGGATATGAAGCTTAATAAGAATTATTTCAATAGCATATCGTAGAAGATTAAACTCTTTTTTATGTTTATCTTTTGAATCATTGTGTTCGAAATCAATGAATATTTTTTAATAACTGTTTTACATGATCATAACTTAAATAAAAAATTATATTTATTTTTAATCATTTAAAAAAACAAACTTCTATATAAATATCATTACTAACAGCAGTACTAACAATTAAATATTAAAACGGCTCTTAAAAAGAGAAAAAAATTCTACTTTATACGTTGTTAAAGACTATGTATGCGGAATTAAGATTTTGATTTTGAATAAAAGAATGACCAATTGCGGCGTGAGATCATTTTTAATCATTTTCTGACAACATGCAAGAAGTTAAGCAAAATAATGAAAATTTTAATACTCGTTTCTATGAGTGAAAACATACACTTATTATGTTGAGAATGACATCAGGATTGAATTCTGTGTTGTTCAATCGATTCCGGCTTGTCGTCGATATTGGGTGCTTTCCAGCAACGTACACAGGCGACACTGTGTAACACAGTATACGACTCAGCGCTTTCCAACTACGACACAAGTCGACACAATCGTACACAGATAAAATGATGTGTTCGACTGTGTCGTCACTCAATTGATTAATAAAACTTATAAATTCTGTTAATAAGATAAGATTGTAACTATATTATACTTAATTTACATAATTTGATCAGTTTTTAATCTCTTCTCTACATATTTGATAAATATGTTAATAATTCATAAAAAAATTTTGTTGGAAAATATTAACTTTTACAGCGAAAATATCTTCTGCGAGTTTAAATTATTATTACAAATCGTTGATATTCGTTATGGCTTCTCAAATCGTTGATATATGCACATATTGAGCATATAGATCGGAAACAGCGTTCCAGCTACAAGTCGACACTGTATAACACTGTGTCACACAGTGTATCACTGTGTTCCGTAGCTAGAAAGCACCCATTATTCTCCTCATGAACGTGCTTGACTCAGGGATCACATCCGCCGGCGCCGCATCAAGATGACCGCAAAAGGACAGCAAATACACGATCTCGATCAATTTCATCGCATCGAGTGATTCGATAAACAATAAAAGAAAACGGATAACTCAAGAGTTTACCAGAGTATCGGGATATATATATATATATAAAAAGACGCATTTAATGACAGTATTAACTTGACCATGGGTGGCATTGCCAAAATCAGGTCACAGTCAACTTTAAATTTTTAAATAGAAACCCCGTTTTTTAAATGCATATTCTTGTAGCTTATCTCGAGAGCTTTTCAAAACACTATAATAAAGTATTTTTTCATTGAGTAGGATAAAATAAAAAGATTGCATAGAACTAAAGTACAATTAATCGTCGAATTAAACTTTTATCTGCTGTCCTACAAATTTGTTGCTAGTCATTTATCTCGTGGTAAGAGATAAACATCGATCTATAATCCTTTCACCATTTCGCTTTTGTATATCTGTTTTACAGCAATTTTCAAAAATTTTTAATTAAAAAATGAATGTTAACAAGATTTAAAAAATACAAAATAAACATTTTTGTATTTCATTTTGTATTTCCATTTTAAATGCATCTATTTCAAGTAATGATTCTAACACAAATCTTATATAAAGTGCAACGTAACTTTTCCATCAACCATCGTAGGTTCTGTGTAGTCATTCTCAATAGTTGAAAAAATAATTTTAGTGTGCTATCTTTTAATAATTTATTAATGCTCACGGCTTTGAATTATTTTGAATTTTTTTAACAAAGGTTTTTGAATTTTAAAAGAAATTATGTATCAATCGTTTTATTGTATTCTTTTCTCTATAAAAGTGAAACAATATATAATTACCAATCACCCAAAAATTAAAGATACCATATTATCATAGTAATAATCAAAATAATAATAATCAAAAATCTGATACTATAATATTTTACTACAGACAAATAAATCCTCGATATTGTTAAAGAAAAGAAATCAAACATTTATAGTTTTCTATAAACTACAGACAAATAAATTCTTGATATTGTTAAAGGAAAGAAATCAGACATTTATAGTTTTCTATAAATATTAGATGATAGAAAGATTATAAATTAATTTTATAAAATCAATTCATCGACAAGTAATGTTACAAAAGTCAAATATGGAGTAGATTATACTTTTTATATCGGATTTTATTTAATCAAATACCGATACCTAATAATTGATATGATCTAAATAAATCATATTAATTGTATTTTTTCTCTTTTATAGAGTTTATCTTTAGGAAAGCAAACATTTTAACCATCTTACAACATTCCATATATCTTTTCTTATCATTAGATGCTGTTCTTATGATAGTTCTATGTACGGATGGTTTCTGATGTACGGAGCGGAACTACAATAGTAATCCTACACATAATATCTATTTAATTCAATGGCTATAGGTACATCTGTCAAACCGTATTTTCAAAATTTTCCTTCTTGAATAATCTTTGGTCATTTTTTTCACCAGTAGTATTGCTGCAATCTCCGCTTTTTCCTACTCGCTTATCTCTACTGATCTTCGTTATCTAGTGGATATGTTACTTTGGATTACGTGATCTATGCTCTAGAGTATATAGAAGAAAAACCTGGCCTTCTTCTCATATGAACTCGGTTTTTTTTACAATTGCCTTATCTGTCTGGCAATGTTTGTTTAATTGAACTTTAACTTGAGGATATTTTTTGCGTGTGTAATCTTTTTTAGAGGCTAACAAGGAATATTTTATTTTCGTGCGAATTTTTGTCGGAGATTGTATATAATGGATGATTTTTTTATTACTATTATTTATATATTTTCTTGATTTTCATTATGTGTGCACCAAAAATACCCGGAATTATCTTTTCTTTAATCACAATTGCAAAATGTGAAACAGTTTTTATTAAAGATATACATATATTTGATAAAGATACAGGTGGAAAATAATAACGCTCGGTTTTCGTAGATAGTCGAAATGTGTCAAAAAACATATATAAAAAACATACGTGTTTTATATAAAATTATATTATATATATTAGGTGTACAAATAAGTTTCCGCCGTTTGACAAAAGTTGGCGCCACCAGTAAGTTATGGTTAAAATTGTCAGATGTAAAACGTCCTTATCGTAAGATTGGACATCAGTCAATAACATAACCTTAAAATATTAGTGATTTTTTATCAGTATAATATATTCTTTTGTGTGCGAGAATGTCGAGTTTTGATCCGAATAAGCGTCATTTGCGGGAACTTTTGATTTACTTCTTCAATTTGAAGAAATCTGCAGCTGAGGCGTATCGATTGCTTGTAGAAGCATATGGTGAGGCTGCCTTAAGTGAGAGAAGTTGTCGTGAGTGGTTTCAAAAGAGAGAGAGAGTTTAAGAACGGTGAATTTGACATCGAAGACAAAGAACGTAGCGGAAGGCCGAAAGTGTATGAAGACGTGGAATTGGAAGCATTATTGGATCAAGATTCGTGCCAAACGCAAGAAGAACTTGCACTTACATTGGGAGTGACTCAACAAGCAATTTCACATCGGTTGAAATCATTGGGATTGATTCAAAAACAAGTAAATTGAGTACCATATGAACTGACGCCGAGAAACGCCGATTGTTCACATGTGAAATGCTGCTCGCCAGGCATAAATGAAAGGGTTTTCTGCACCGTATAGTCACTGGTGATGAAAAATGGATCCACTATGATGTGCTGCCAGAAAGATGAGAAAAAGTAGTGGCAAGCGATGGATAATACTTCAAATAAAACATTAGGTTCCGTTCTTTCACAATAAATGCCCAATCTTTGATAAAAAACGGCGGAAACTTATTTGTACACCTAATATTTATTTATAATTATAGTCTCAAACACTTTAGAACACTCTAGAAGCAAATTCAAATGATTCTCGTTACTGCTATCGTAAATATACACAGATGGATCGATAAGCGTACGAGTGATAAAACGCAAAAGATCGGTTTAAGAATTACATATATTTATTTAATATTTTTTCGCCTTATATTTTATATGTATTTGTCATATTGCATATCCTTACAAATATTTTATATATATTTGTCATATTGCATATCCTTACGATTCATCGCAACGATCTATCATTCGCCAAAACAACGATTGCTTAAAAACGTGTGTGTTACGTTAATTCGCTTTTGCTCTAATCGTATAAATAATATACTAAAATATTATAATAAACTTTACGTTTCATTAAATTAACAATTATGACTGCTATCAATAGCATCAACATTACTAAGGATGTAGTGTGTAATATTCATCACTTATTTTGGTTGTCGATGAACGTCATCACATCGATGTAACATTATTTAAATTTTTTTCCTTCATAAGCTCGAATACTCTCTCGTATATTAATTTGGGTGCATCCTTGGCCCACATAAAATCCACGTGATTAAATTTGGGCCACGGTACTTCGTACATATCCACTACGTTGGGCAGTAAATGATACAACCTTTTCACATCCTTGAAGAAATATTTTCATGAATTATCGCACGCGATTTCTTTTAAACTATCTGCCTGAATCTACGAAACTTGACTTAATAAAATCAACACGAATAAATCTCTGCTACATATTTTGTTTGAAAATGCATTGTTTAATTACTTACCACGATATCAATCAGCCAATCGCCAGAACCATAGAACAATGCGATAGGTATCGTGATACTCGTCAGATTATAATCCGGAGGTTCCGGAGAGTTATATACCAACAGATTTTTTTCGCGACCGTAATCATATTGGCGAAACTTGTCAGATTGGAATATCTGAGTATAATGTACTAACGTCTTAGCCGAGGCACCGGCCGGGTCGTGACTCAGGATGACAGGCAATAGAGTCTAAATAGGGAACAAGGACATATACATTGGACATATAAAATTCAATCTGAAACGTGTACATACACACGATCGTGAAATAACAGAATGTGATGATCGAAAATTCGATTAGAGTTGTATTTTGATCGCAAATTATTACTCACGTAGTTAAACTGCTCGCGGTCATAACCGCAGATCAGAAATATCATGTTTGCGCACATCTTCTCCTCAGAGAGATTTTGATCGCAACCGTATTTCGAGAGAAATCTCAAAAAATCGCTTTGCGAAAGGAATTCGTCGTGGAAAAAAAGTTGCAAGATTATCTGTAATCAAAAGTTTTTTATCTGTAATGTAAATTACTTGTAATTCTTTCCTTGTTTAAGTTTTAGCCGTATTTCTGAGAAAAAATAAAAAACTTTTTAAGCAAATTTTTAACAGATTAACATAATTTAAAAAAGTTTTAAGAGTTGCTTCGATCTTAATTTTAACTCGTCGAAGAACATCTCGTTAAAATTAAAATCGAAGATTTAATATGTACGACATAAACTAATAGAATGTAAAGCAAAAAATATATTAATTTTTTAATCTTCAGAAATTTTCTAGGAAATTTTTTAATGAATTTAAAAAGAAAGCTACCGTATTTCTCATTGATATTCCATTTTTGAGAGATAAACTTCTTGTTTTTAAATTTTACCACGATTTGCCACAATTTTTTTCAGTCTGTATAAGTATTATACAATCACGGTTGTGTATATGTGTATATGGGGAAAATAACACGCATTTCTTGTAACGTTGTTACAATCTTTTTCGGTAACTTTAACGGTAACGGTGTTAAAATTTTTATCTACGACTTTGATACATTCTTTTAGTAACGAGTAAAAATTCAGCAATTTTCTACTCAATCTTTGCGACATCATGCAAACAAATCACACATAAAAAGTATCAAATTAAAAAAAAAAAAAAAATAAACAGTTTCGATAAAGTTTAACGACTTTTACTTTAAATCTTATTATATAATTTTTATAAACTTTTACATGTTACAAAAAATTAAAATTATCAATTAACATATCATGTCATAGTTTAAAAATTGCATAAATTTAAGGTGCAAAAAGTAATTCCAAAAATATATTTATCAAAAGAAACAACTAAAAGAATCTTATTTTTATATACACTTACTGAAATTGGAGATTTAAAAATTATTTTTGCGATGTTCTTGAAAAAAGTTTCTTCTAATTAAGATATGAAAACTCACAATTATTGAAAATGTCACGAAATTACGTTTTATATCGATAGCAACATCAATATCAAAATTATTTCGGTTTCGTTATGTTTTAATATTTAAAAAGTATAAAAAAAGATGTGTTTATAGAATGCAAGTTTTATATATTTTTATTGCGTGTATGTGTTGGATATATAACTTATATAATAAATTATATAATTTTACATATAACTTGTATAATTTAAAAAAAAAAATAGCTTGTATAATTAAAAAAATAACAAAAATTGTAAAAACTCGTAATATTCTTAATAACAAATGTGAACGAGATACATTATCAAATTAGTAACATAACGATAACGAGTCAGTTTTATAAAATAATTGTCTTAACTCTTGATAAGATATACAGTATGTTGTAGTGTTCGCGCATTATTTTTTAACGACAGAGAAGATCATTTATTATAATTTTGTAAATTTTAACATTAACATATGTTTTTAAAACTAAGCCTCTCCGAATTAAATTTTTATTAAAATAAGCTTTATCTGAAAACAAAAGAAAAATGTAGTTTATTATTTATTTGACCATCTGTAGTTTCAATTACTTGTAATTCGAGAATTATTAATATTTCGTCATTTACGCTAAACAATTATTTATTTTAAAAAATCTGTTATTTAAAAATAGAATTTGATGAGTAGTACACCCTGATATAGTTATTTAGTGTAAAAACTATACAGGATGGTCCATTTTAAAAGAGCCAGTCAAATATCTCGAAAAATATGGAAGATACGGAAAAACGTTTCAGACAAAAGTTGTTTGGTTCGAAGGGGGACATAAGATGGTGCCATTGATGTGACCTTGGATAGTCATTTGAAGGTCACATGAAGGTCATTTTCAATTTCTTAAATAGAAATTCCCATTTTTTATTGCATATTTTTATAGCTTATCTCGGGAGCTTTTCAAAACACTATAATAAAGTATTATTTCATTAAGTACTTTTTGAGTTATTTTATATCTTAATCTGACATATTTCGACATATAAAATAAAATATCTCGTAAAATATTTAGTTTTTGATAATCTTACCGCATGTACTTAATGAAAGAATACTTTATTATAGTGTTTTGGAAAGCTCTCGATATAAGTTATAAGAATATGCAATGAAAAATGGAGGTTTCCATATAAGAAATTGAAAGTGACCTTTATGTGGCCTTCAAATGACTATCCAAGGTCACATCAATGGCACCATCTTATGTCCCCCTTCGAACCAAACAACTTTTGTCTGAAACGTTTTTCCGTATCTTCCATATTTTTCGAGATATTTGACTGGATCTTTTTAAATGGACCACCCTGTATATGTAACGTTACTTTTACAAAATTTTTAAAAAGAATATTGTTCTAATATTTATTTCGTAATAATAAATTATTTTGTAACAGTATTCGCATGTATTACTTTACCTGAAACTCTCTCCAAAAAGGGAACAAGTATCGTATCGGACTTTTAATATGGTTTGTAAAAGCCACTGGCGCAAAGCTGATCATCATTTGCACCATTTGAGCGATTTCCGGACGCTCTGATGCCATTATGTAAAAACTAGTTGTGCCCATCGAATGACCAATATACGTATGCAATGGTTGCGATGTCATATTTGTGACAAATTTAATCATTGCAGGTAAATCATAGATACCCATTTCATTGAAGCTGATGGAAAATTTAATCAACATATCGTCAAAAAATGTGTAAATATATGTATGTATATATTGTTGCATATAATTTAATATATATAAACTAGAAATATATATGTATACATATATATATATAAATTGTACAATATATAATGTATGTGTACATATGTATATAATATACAGGGAATCCTATGTAAGGTACTACTATATTTGTTGTCAAAAAATAAGCATTTTCTTACTTTGACAAAATTTCTGAAAATGCATCGTTTCCGTGATACCTCATTTTTTAATATATCAGTACATTTGCTGTTTCATGGTTCTTTGTGTAAAATTTTTGGTAATTATGATACATTAAAAAATAAGATATCTTAAAAACGATACATTTTTGGAAAGCAAAAAAAATGCGTATTTTTTGACACAAAATACAGTTGTACCAATTTTTATATCATATTTATATTTAAAAAATGACCTATATATTTATATTGTATAGAGGATGTCTCTAGATAAAGAGAGTGCTGCTTAAATAACTGCTGTGAATATGATATATACAGCTCTCTCTTTCTTCATCATTTTATAAACATTTAAAAAAAAATACGTATATGTATATACAGGGTGAGTCATTTTAATCAACGCACGCAAATATCTCGTAAAGTAAGCAAGATGGAAAAAACTGTTTTATACAAAAGTTGTAGGGTTCAGAGGGGGACACATGATGAAAATATGAACTTGACCTTGAGTGACCTTTTCAAGGCCAAGTCAATGTGATCAATATTTTCTTAAATGGAACCCCCCATTTTTTATTGCATATTCTTATAGCTTATGTCGAGAGCTTTTCAAAACACTATAATAAAGTATTTTTTCATCAAGTACTTTTTGAGTTATTTTATATTTTATTCTGACATATTTTGATATAAAAATTAAAATATCTCGTAAAATATTTAGTTTTCGATAATCTTACCGTAACACTTTTATGTACAGAATAATGAAACAAATCAATTAGTTAAAAAAAACAAATAATTGTTTAAAAAATTACATTGAAAATAATTCCATACTTAAAAAGATATAAAAGTAAGGCTCTTACACGATTAAAATCAAGTAAAATCCGAGTAAAAAGGCAAAACAAAAGGTTATTCAAGGTCAAATTCATATTTTCATCATATGCCCCCCTGTGAATCATACAACTTTTGTCTAAAACATTTTTGTCTTAAACTTATAGATTTTAAGATATTTCAGTGGATACTTTAAAATGGCCTACCCTGTATATACAGGGTGTTCCGGAACAATCTTCCGTCCGTGAAATGACGTATTCCTGATACAATTCTAAGACGATTTTTCCTTTACCAAAATTTAAATTGAAGCGTAATTTTTGAGTTATAAGCAAAAATAGTTAGCAAATCACGCGTCGAATACAGAAGGCAGGCAGGAGCGGCGCGGCGCGCCGCGAGCGCCCGGCACAGCTGACCGTCTGATTACCACCGCATGAATATAATTTTTTTATATCATAAATTTTAAAATTCTTTAATAAATAACTATATTAGAAGTTATATCACGATTTATTAGAAATTTTTTTGATTTGTTTGCCGTTTAGATGCAATAGTTTCTCTTAAGCGTTCTTCTAATAAATAAATAATCAACAATAACATCACGAGACATGACTTAAGGATTGAATATGAAATTGTACCGAGTGCTTTGCCTTTGCCAAGAATAATCCAATCGGCGGAAGTGCATAACAGACCGTGTTGCAGCAGCACAGGTAGAGAATTGTTGCCACCTGGGATACGATGTAATGTCAAATAATAACCGTCTTCGGTCATTATCACATGAACCTCTGCGGGATAACCCGCTCTTCTTATCATCTCCGGCTGAAAGAAAAAAACAGTGTAAATAAAGGAGGGAAAAATAAAATCTTGATGATAAAATGAAAACTTGAAATAAATTTGGGCGAGAAGGAGAGAGAAAAAAAAGAGAGAAAGAGAAAGAGAAAGAGAAAGAGAGAGAGAGAGAGAGATATAAGTATATAATTAGGCATATATATATTGTATAAGTCCATCTACTTATATCAGATGTTAAGTTAATTTCAACATCGTTGCAACTTTAATATTTTGAAAGTATCATTCTTATTTTATAGAAGTACCTGAAATCCCAAAATTTTGATTCCGACGGCGATAGAGAAATATGCGCCCTCGAGTAGGTATTACCACGAAAATTGCCTAACCAAACATCGTATCCTTTATCCGCCAATAGATAAGCTAGAATGCAAAAAAACATGGTTTGCAGTACTTATTGCGAATTATTGTATCAATTAATATATAATTTGTATCTTAATAATAATCTAAATATAATAATCATTTGTATCTTTTTACATGATATATTCTTATACAAATTTCACAATAGTTTCAAGTGTTAATATTTTTTAATAATAGATTAAGACAAAAAACTAATTTATAATGCACTCATTATCATCCGATAAATTAAATAAACATTTTAAAACATATAATTCATACAATATATGTATTTAATATATATATTTAATATTATATATATATATATATATATATATATATATATATATATTTCCGGCGATTTACGTCGGGAGTCTAATTTGATTATGCTTTCGAGGAATGATTGTACGGCTTGTATGTTGTCGAGCTCTAAGAAGAGAGAAAATTTATTGGAAATTGTATTATCGTGTTCTATCTTCGAGCGCATCCCATGTTGTCGATATATATATTCAACGTTATATATAATTACGAATATTTTTTGTATCTTCTAAAAATGAGAGAGAGAGAGAGAGAGAGAGAGAGAGAGAGAGAGAGAGAGATGCACATTGTATTTATTTTTAAATAACTGGAGCAATTCTATAATATGAATTATATAAATATGAAACTATGGTAATTATTCAGAATCACGGCTCCACCTGCAACTGGGCTGCACATTTTTTTACGGAATTTTTATGTTTAGAAAGAAATATAAATTCCCATTTTTAGTTGGGGGGGGCCCAAAAAAAAAGTTATAGACCTTAAAAGGGTAATTATGGTAATTATTTCGAATAAGGCTATTTCTGAATTTTGACAAATATGATCGGATCTCTCGGAAAAACTCTTTGTTGTGACTTCAACAATGATAATCAGTTGGGGGAGCACGTCCCCCATCACCCCCACCCCCCAAAAAAACCGAGAAACCCCAAAAATTACCAAAGCAAAGCGAGGTCCACCTCACAACCCAAACCAAATTTTAGTTTTAAATCAGAAATAGGTTTGGGTTAGGTTATATCTTCCGGAAGAGGAGGCCCCCTCCGTAGGGAGAAGGCGGAACCCACTGTGTCCATGCATATACTTTACAATGCGAAGCGAGGTTCAGCCCAGAATCGTTGTGTGGATGTATTTATACATATATATATGTATATATTTAATTAAAATATGTATAGTATATATATAATTGTTAAAGAAAATTAAAAACAAGTAGAAATATTAATTATTTAATTTAGAGTAGGAAAGTCATCAAGTATTCACCCGTAGCTTTTAAATTGATCAAGCGACGCGGTACTGTCGCGACGCTAAGTATATAAAAAAATTCCTTCCGGCTTGTCAGCAGCTTTGCCTATGTATAGGGGCCGCGGCACTACCAAGTAGCTTATCCGGAGTTTTCCGTCTAATAAACTTTCGATTAAAATTCCTCAGGAACTAAAGCTGTAATCAAGAATCTAACGGCGCTTTTCTTATATAATGTGGATGCAAACTTTCAATTGCGACCAGTTTGAATAAGATTGGTGCAATCAATCCTGAGGAATGATAATCGTATACCAGAATTGTGACATTTTAATTTTTCTCCATAAGTTTCAAACTCACGTACGTATGCTCGCACGCACACACGCAAAGCGATTTTGTATCTCAAGCGGCGTTCACATCGCTCATATATGTACGATTATTCGCTTGATATGCAAACAAAACGCATTAAAGGTGCGTACTGACTTGAAGATTTTTGCGCGCACGAACGATTTGCGCGCACGAATGCTCTAGTGAGGACGTATCATTTTTGTTTCGCCGCACGCTCTGATCACGCACGAACGCGATCCGTCGTTTGTCGGTCATCAAAGAATTTATGTGCGAAACGATGCTCGATTTGGACGTGTATGCAAAACTGAAACGTCGTGCGCGCAAAAAAAGTTATGGAGTGGACGAATGAAATGGTTCTCCAATTAATAGATAAGTACGAAAAGTTTCCCTTATTGTGGAATGCTAAACACGAGTTCCATTTTTCAAGAAATAAGAAGGTTGATGCTTGGGAGATAATAGCAAATAACTTGAAAATAGACGCAGTTATAGCAAAACAAAAAATGGCCAGTTGACTGGGATCCTTTCGTAGAAAAAAGGCAAAGGGTAAAAAAAGTATTGGAACAGAAAAAGGTATTTATTTTTTTTTATTTACGGCGAACAACTCGAGCACAGTTTTGTATGAACGAATAAAAATTTTTGATATCAAAAAAGTTTATCCGTACGAACGTTTGTGCGGATAAATCGCTCGTGCGCGCAAAAATGCTTAAGTCAGTACGCACCTTAAGAAACAAAATCATATGTGAATGTGTGTGCATACGTGTGAGATAATAATGTTTATATTTTATAAGAATACGCGCGGAGTATAATGCGACAAGAAGAAAAATGATAAAATGATTAACGTTATGAGAATATCGTGGAATAGTGCAACACAAGGAAAAAAAGTGATAAAGTGACATAATATTATTAATAAATAACGGTATAATAAGAGTATAGCAGAAAAGTGAAATGTGCATTCATGTATATAATATTTATTTATATTTTATATGTAAATGTCGCAGATTTTATTAAAAGATCGTACAAAAGTTTATAGTAATTTGGCAACTGCATTGATTAAAACAGAAACCTACGATGCAACTTTAGAAAATGTGAAACATGTTTCGAGCTGTTAACCACAAAATGTTAAAGCACTATTTAGGAAAAGTATTGTAAAAATCCTAATCTTCTTTTTATTTACTATATTTAATCTTCTTTTTAATAAATTGTATATATTCTTGATTTATATTTTACATGTGGAAAATTGAAATATGTGTGTATATATATTGTGCGCATTGTAGGAACAATATTGAGATACAAAGGGGAATATGCAAAAGCTTATGCAACTTCTCTCTCTCTCTCTTTCCACTGAAATTCAAAAATTAAATCCAGAAATTAAGATATTTACTACAGAATTAATAACCTTAAAGGATAAAATTACTAAAAATGCAGAAAAAAAGCACTTATATCGTAAAATGTTAGGTGTAATCGAAGATACTAAAAATCCGTCAAAGGATATAAAAGTAGATGATAAAAGTAAGTAATTAAGTAAAGGATATAGGTGCTAATAATAAAAGTAAAGGATATAGGTGCTAATAATAAAAGTGTTGATAATCTAAAACCTAAGATCTAACACTCAAAAAAATGTCTTGCTGATATAGGTAGATTTCTAGGTGTCACAACAAAAATTTATCGCTATTTTTTGTATCTGTTAGAATATTGTCTGTTACATATAGAATTTATAGCAGCAACATTCTAATAATATCTTCTAGAAAATTTAGGTCCCATTGCCAAATGTTAATCACTGCATTGGATAAATATGAGTTTCGATACTACAGAACGATCTTTGTGAGAAATATAACTGCCAATTATAACTGCAGCATCGAAAAATTGAGAAAAATTGTTTAAAAGAGCTAGATAGATTGAGCGCGTTATACAAATATGTTAGACGTGAGGATTATATATTCATTTGTTTCTTGCCGCTAATTTTTTCTGTCTACCACAGCCAAACTTTATAACAAGTATGATTGGCCTTAACATGGATAGGCGCCACAGAAAAACATTCTTTCTAAATTTCACAAACAGTTCAGATATAAATTCTGTCTCTGTCACTTAGATTGATTAAATGCGAAACATATGCGATACAAATATGTTAGATGTGAGGATTATATATTCATTTGTTTCTTGCCGCTAATCTTTTCTGTGTATCATAGCCAAACTTTATAACAAGTATGATTGGCCTTAACATAGATAGGCGCCACAGAAAAACATTCTTTCTAAATTTCACAAACAGTTCAGATATAAATTCTGTCTCTGTCACTTAGATTGATTAAATGCGAAACATATGCGATATCACAGTATTTGCTAATCATTTATGTACCTCAGTTAATTTTGCGCACCCAGAAAATTTTTGCTGTAGTTGCAAAACCACTTTTTTGAGTGAAGGTAACTCACAACTGGCCGATTCGCGTATAGATACCCGGAGTGTCTCGCGGCTTTGTGTAAACTTGGCGCGAGACACTACCGTGTTTCTTGATAAAGCTTATGATTAATTTTAAAACAAGTCGATCAGTTTGGCACGGGGCACTTTTAAACTCAAAAGTGGTAATCGATGTGATCGACGTTATTGCAGTAAGGGTTAAGTAGTTTTATGATTTACCATTTGTAATAAAATCCGCAATATAATAGTGCTATTTTATATATTATATACAATATTTATTTGGGGGGGACATACTAGTATAATTTTATAAAAATAAAATGCAAAATAGCGTTTATTGATGTAATATTATGTAAATATTTAATATGCTGCGCGACACATCAACACGGGAACAATCTTGAAATACTCGTTCGCCTTCTCCTTGAATAATTTCGCTTTCTGTTTGCGTCTCTCGTATGCGGTACAGTTGCAATCTCCGCTTCCTCTTCATTACTTATGATCATTTATCCTCAACTTTTAATGCACGTGTCGTGCATGTCACCGAACTTTGTTACCACTTGTTACGAGCAATCATGATGTATTTATAGAGGAATTTTTCCTATTTTCATCTTGCACGCAGTAGATCACGCGATTGCCTTGATATAATGTTATAATATATAATCTTAATGTATTTTTTTTTAAGATCGTATTTTTTTATATCTTATTACAGCATATCGTTAGTTTTGTAGTTTATCGGAAGTCTGTGACGTTAATTAAGAAAGCGGAATTAAATTTTATTACTTGCAATTTTAAAAGGAGCTGTTAATTAAACTAAATGATGCCTATAAAATATTTGCAAATTGAATAATGTTACAAGAAAATCTCACGTTGTAGATATTCTCATCGGATAAAGGCGAAGAAGGTAAAAAGGATATATTAGAATGTATGTAGACTCAACATTGGAATTTTTGAACCATAGCAAAACAACTGATGGAAGAGTCATACAAATAATCGCCATACAAGAGTC